GGATCACATTACCAGATTATACTACAAAGCCACTGTAATCAAAACAGCCCGGTACTGGCACAAGAACAAGCATATAGACCAGTGGAACAGAACTGAGAACCCAGAAATGGACCCAAGGCAATATGCTCCATTAATATTTGACAAAGGTGGCAAGAGCCTACAGTAGAGTAAAGACAGCCTCTTTAATAAATGGTGTTGGGAAAATTGGACAGCTACATGCAGAAAAATGAAACTAGACCATCAACTTACACCACACACCAGAATAAACTCAAAATAAATAAAAGACTTAAATGTGACTCATGACTCCATAGAAATCCTAGAAGAAAATGTAGGCAACAAAATTTCAGACATCATACACAGCAGAATTTTCACTGATACATCACCTAAGGCAACAGAAACAAAGGAGAAAATGAACACATGGGACTGCATCAAGCTCAAAAGCTTCTGCACAGCGAAAGATACAATCATCAAAATGGAAAGGCAACCCACTGTAATGGAGAACATAATTGCCAATGATATATCAGATAAGGGGTTAATTTTTAACATATATATAGAGTGCTCATACAACTCAACAAAAGGAAGACAAAGAACCCAATTAAAAAATGGGCAGAGGAACTAAATAGACACCTCTCCAAACAGGACATACAAATGGCTAAGAGACATATGAAGAAATGCTCAACATCACTAATCATCAGAGAGATGCAAATTAAAACAACAATGAGGTATCACCTCATACCTGTCAGAATGGCTGCCATCAACAAATCATCAAACAAGTGTTGGCGAGGGTATGGAGAAAAGGGGACTCTAGTACACTGCTGGTGGGAATGCAGACTGGTGCAGCCACTATGAAAAACAATATGGTGTTACCTCAAAAAATTAAAAATTGAACTGCCATTTGACCCAGTGATCCCACTTCTAGGAATATACCCTAAGAAGCCTGAAACACCAATCAGAAAGAATATATGTACCCTCATGTTCGTAGCAGCACTATTTACAATAGCTAAGATCTCGAAACAGCCCAAATGTCCATCAGTAGACGAATAGATAAAAAAGCAGTGGTACATATACACAATGGAGTACTATGCATCTGTAAGAAAGAAAGATCTCTTATCCTTTGAGACGACATGGAGGGAACTGGAAAGTATTATTCTAAGCACAACAAACCAAACATAGAAAGACAAGTATCATATGATGTCACTTATTTGTGGAATATAATGAACATAACAGTCTGAGGAATGGAGTAGTCTGAGAGATGTGGAAGTGGGGTACAGACTGACAATCCCCAGAACAGGGGGTTGTGGGGGAGAGATAAACCACAGAACTTATATGTATATATGCATGAACAGTGGACATGGACAACAAAGCTGGGGACAGGGCGGGGAGGAGGAGAGGGGGGAATCAGTGGGGGAAAAGGAGAAACATCTGTAACAAAAATAAATAAATTAATTAATTAATGAGAAAAACAAAATCAATAAAGAAAAAAAATTTTTTAATTGTCTGCTTTGGATCATGTTCAGAGGTTTTTCTTGGTGGCTCTTAAGTAGGGGGCAATAATTCCCTATCAAAGAGACAGGTAAAAATGTGTAGGATAGTTTTGTTTGTTACAACTGTGATGTCCTCCTGGCATTAGAGACTGGGTCCTAGATGTGCTTAGTGGCCTGAAATGTACAGGGAAGTCTGCACAATGAATTGTCGACCCCTTCTAATGCCAGCAGCAACCAATCTGACAAACCCAAACAGATCAGCAGAGTTCTCCAAATTCAGATATTCCTTGACTGACGAGGTTGCAATACAGTAAACCCATCATAAGTGGAAAATATCATGTCCAAATGCATTTAATATACCTAACCTCCTGAATATTAGAGCTCTTGGCCTAGCCTACCTTAAACACACTCAGAAGCTTAGATTATCAGGACATATTCCCACCATAAACCAAGGAGCAGACGTAATTGCCTTCCTCTTCTTTTCACCAGAAGCAGGAGACATATAGGTGTTTTGTAGACATGATGGGATAAGAAAACAGAAAGCATCTTATCCAAAAAATGCTGGCAATATAGTATATTGTAGAGTAGCAGTTGTGTACCTTCATAATCACGTGGCCGACTGAGAGATGAGGGTCACTGCTACCCAGCATCAGGAGAGAGTATCGTACTGCATATTGTAGCCCAGAAGAGCAAATTCAAACTCTGAAGTACAGTCTCTACTGAGTGCCTGTAGCTTTCACACCATTGGAAAGTTGAAAAATCCAAAGTCAAACCATCTGCACTGCAGTTTCATTTGTGAGATCTCCTGTGAGCTCAATCCTATCTACAGTTAATTCTGTCTCTCATGATCCGATCTGATTCCCTTCTGCCTCCTCAGGGACCTCACTTTCCAATTATGCTCACTTTGCTTTACGAGTGCAACCACTCCCTCTTTATATCTGAGCACACTCTGATCTATTCTATCTCAAATAATACCTTCTCTTAATTCCATGTACTCAAGCTGGACCATTTCTGCCTCCTGTCATTGCCAATCTCAGAGCAGAGCACTTATCACCTGGCTATTCGGGGGAATTATTTTTCGTATTGTGATGAAAAGAAAGCCCACACCATATATAGTTTCAAAACACACCATTTTTATTATATAGACATATCAATAGAGTCATCATACCATGTTCAAACAATTGTATATATTTGTGTGTGTAGGTGTGTACACCTACACACACACATATATGGTTAAAAAATTCCATGAGTTCACTTTTGATCTTTTACGCTTACAGTGACTGTACCTTTTATAGTACTCTCTACAGCAAACCACCACACTAATTTTATGTATTTTTTTCTATTTTTGGATCACATTACTTTTTTTCCAAGGGTAGGCTCATACTTAAGCTGTAATGCAGCCACTTAAAAATATTCTCGTTCATACTTCAATGTATTGTGAAAATTAAATTTTCAAGTACTGCAACAATGTCTTCCTAATTTCCCCTACCTATCTCGAAAAGAATGACTACACATCTCAAATACATCAGTCTAAATAACTGAGCTCTAAAAATACTGGGTTAAAAGAATTTACATTTAAAGATATAGCTATACTTGGTTAAATACATTGTAGACTATTTGGAAAATTGTGATGATTGTATTTCCTTTTAACTCTATGTCAAAGCAATGATATGCCTACTTTTGTCCCTTAAGTGTGATTTCATTAATTATTTCAAAGGCATTAAAACATCTTACTGGTGTATTATAACTCTGTATTGTGCAAACATGTCTACGAAGAAATGCCACCTAAGATTAGAGCCGGTGGTTATTCTTTTAGAACAAGATTACATCTTTGGATACATTCAGTAGACCCACATACACATAAAATATGTGCGTTTTATGGTTTAAATGTTCAGAAGAAAAGATCATTCCTGCCTGTGGCATCCAACGGTGCTGATGCTGATTCACCATCAAAGGCTGCATTTATGGCAACTTCTGTAATCTACTGGGTGATGAGGTTATCCGAATGGGTTGGGAGACTTCAAAATGACACCACACAACCATGGTCCTGTTATTTCTTTAGACTAGATACAGCCAGAAACTTTTTACGAGCTGATTTAAATATAGTAGGTGATGAGCATGTCACTCTAAAACTAAAAGACCTTTAGATTTCCATGAACTGGAATTATTATTTTCTGAGCACGATTAAAACTCAAGTTATAACATGTTCTCATACTGGATATTGAAGGTGTTAATTTACCTATGGTTCAGTGAGCAACTCATAAAAAAAATGAGTTGAAATTGATTAGCTTTGGGGAAAAATAAAAGTATGCAATACAGTGAGAGTTATATATTTAAAAATATATGAGTTCTTTATCTGCTGCCAGAGGTTATGTTTTCATAAATAATTTCCAAGGCCACGCTGTTTCCTTGCCTGTGCATCGTCCCAGGTTGCTGGTTTAACATTCCACCATGGAAGGATTTGAATCTTGCTGTGTAAATGTGAGCCCACCTTTCTATTTTCTTCCACAGAGAATTCTTTCAGGTTCTTTGGATACATGCATTCTGGGAAATGCCTTGTCTGTATTGCTGCATGTGAACTGTAAACCAACCACAGCACTCATTTAAAAGACAGCAAAGCTGCTCTGGCTGGTTTGGCTCAGCAGTTGAAGCATCGGCCTGCAGACCAGAGAGTCCCGGGTTCGGTTCCCACTAGGAGCACGTACCAAAAAAATAATAATAATAATAATAAATAAATAAAATAAACGACAGCAAAGCTAGTTGTAATTTCATCACTTAGGCATACTTCAGCCATCCTTTCGCATAATGTAATTGGGCTCTAAAGTGTTTAAAATGTAAATATCATGAATAATCATGAGTCATTATGTGGAAGAACATGATTTAAAGTTATGTTTATAAATCAATATTAACTTGCTCCTGCAGAAATAGCATAATAATAATAAACTATCCAAACAATTAAATAATTTATCTTTATACTACATTGTTCAGATCACTCAACTCCATAAATCTCAGCCACAATAATTTTTACACAAAACAAACATAATAAAAAGAATAAAAATGAAAAAATTTTGTAAAAATTAAAATGTGATTTTGTGGGCATAGAAAAGCTTCGAACAAATGCCTTCCCATCTCTGTGGGAATGGAATCTCGAAAACCCCCCCACAGCATCACAATTTCCACTACTTGCTTACATCCATGAATGCTAGAAATATGTGCTGTATATATTGTCAATATTTACAGTATATATACGCACATGAACACACAGACTTAATTTAGCCTCATTCATGAACATGCAGATCAATCTGCACGGTATGATCAATACATGTTTATTTGCCTTAAATGATACTCATTTACAACTTTTCACTCTTGTGCAAAAATGCAAAAATATCATACAGATTAGTATTTTCTCTCTAAAAAATCTTTTTTAATGCTTTCGGGTTTTTGTCATTTACAAATAAATTATGAAATATAGTTCATTCACAAGTTGAAAATAATTACAATGTTTTTACAAGGCATTGCTGAGGTCTCGAATCCATTGTCTTTCAAAACAAAGACACCACTGAGTGATTGTTATTGATATTTGCACTTTCTGATTACCTATATGGAATACATCAAGACAGATCTAACGCTCATGCTAGTCAAAGAGTATTTGTATAGAATAGAAAATTTTCTCTTTTCTCTATTCTTTTTTTTCCCCCCGGAAAAGTCTTTTGTAGAACCATCTGGAAAGTGTTGAAATTTCTGTACTACAATCTTTCTGGAAAGTTTTTCACCCAATAAAAAAAAGCTGAAGACATCAGAGAGTCAAAATTGAGCAAGAATGATTTTCGTGGGTGCTCAGGAGTGACAACAGCGAATCTAAGAACAGTTTCAGTTTCATCGCCTCGACCTTTGGTATTTTCTTGCCTCACGAAAATCCTAAAAAATGTTCAGTTCTTTAAAACACTGATTATATTCTTCCATTAAATATCAGATGGGGTCCTCCATTGCTCATGTTGTCTGTCATTTCCTGTTAGAAAAAGAACATGAATGAATGAAAATTCCTTTCAGAGTGAAACATTGATTTGGTTAAAAGGGTTGCAAACCAGAAATTTCAAACCATTGAAAAACCTGCTGGGCTGGGGGAGGTCGAGGATTGGCACTGGCGTTGCGTTTGGGAAAATGAAATTTCGTGGCATCTCAGGGCACATGAAGGTGCCGAAGTGACATTCTAGAGGCCGATATGCTACCCGCAAAAACAGCTCGGTCTCTCCCCAGTCCCCAGTTTCCCCTTTTGTTCCTCAACTCTCTTTTGGAAAGCCCTCACCTTAAAAGAAGGTGATTGTAAGTTTCTCCAATGCATAGGCTCCTCTGCTGAGCATGTCCACAAAGAGACAAGTAGGGATACCTCTGTCCTGTGGAAAGGTATGTGGCCTTTTTGCGAAGCACTGAAAAGGGCCCTTAAGGGGGTCATTGCTTATTTGTAACTATGGCTCACTAATAAATCACAGTGAAGAGAATATTTTTATTTTTATGACACTGTCACTTATACAGTAAAAAATAAAAAAGTAAAACTCTTTTATTTATTTTTTCTTTATTGATTAGAGAGAGAGGAAGGGAGAGCGAGAGAGCTATAGAAACATCATGAGAGAGAACACCGATTGGCCGCCTCCTGCACGCCTCCCACTGGGGATCGGGCCCACAGCCTGGGCATGTGCCCTGACTGGGAATGGAACCCGTGACCTCTTGGTGCCTAGGCTGATGCTCAACCAGTGAGCCACACTGGCCTGGCAAAAAGTAAAACTCTTAACATGTTGTTTAAGGGATCAATTACTAAGTTAATAAGGAAAACTACAGGAGAAGGCAATACACATTTAAATATAAAAGATGACCTAACATAAAAAGTTCCATTTGCAATGATAGAAAGTATGTTAAGAAAAATTTAGAAGCTTTGAATTCGTGTTTTATTAAACATTAAGCTCTTTCCTACACAAAAATGGTAATGAGGAAATACCATATTATAAATAATATTTAGGCTGTCTAAAAATAGATGACACATCTTTCGTCACTTGAACAAGCCTATTTGCAACAGAGCCGTAAAGAATAATTCAAATGGAAATGATTTTCTCAATTATTTCCTGCCTATCAGTTTATATCTACTTGCAGTTGGGGTGAGTTAACAATTACAAAGTAAGTGTTTGCTTTTATAAATGTTAGAAATTCTTCCAAATATTTATTTGAAAATGAAAAGTTATCCACGCCTCATTTTCAGTCTTTTTCTCTTTGCAAATTCAATGCAGAAGGTGAAAGAGTGAAAACGCTTGTTCTTTTCTATTGGGTGGCTTTGCACCTTACTCAGGAGGAGCATTGAGGAACTTGAAGTTGGGAACTGGCCCGGTGTTTGAACTTAACTTTTGAAAACTTCGCTGTTTTTTAGAAGAGGGAGTAGTTTCTTCCAAGGAAATTCTGGGGAAGGAGACCATATCTAGCAGAGACTTCTCCTCTCTCACCTCAAGACCTGGCTTTGCAAGCAAAGTGCCCTGGCCTCTCCAGGCTGTTGGGGGGTGAGCTGTCTTGTCCCTGGGCATCCATTATACATGCTCCCCACCCCCACCCCCATGGTAAGATGCTAAGAAATTACCAGGAAAAAAAAATCCTTTAAAAATTCCAACCCCTGTAGCTCTGACAGGAAGTGGAGAACATCCCTCCAGCCTCTGTGGTCTGCGAGTTCAGCTAATTGAGGGGCTGGCTTGCTAGAGCTATGTGAGGTGCAAACAGGTCTAAAAATACACTGATATTGTCAGGCTGTGGTTAATTTAGTCATAAGAACCTGATTTGAAGCTTCATTCAAGAACTTAGTGTTCACAGCAAGATACGTGGAAATAGTCCCTCCAAAACAAAATGCTCTTGAACAAAATTTACTCATCCACCTTTTTCTTTGTCTCTGACTAGAAACAATACAATTCCTAATGAATTTATACGAATTAGGTTTCTTAGGTTCCCTCCCTTCTTCTAATATGACTTTGCATTGAAAATGGAGCTTCAAAACCATTGAAAAAGGAATCTAATATGAAATCTTCACTGTAAGATTCTATAAATCCTGTTTTTAAAAATCGTACCCCCCCCCCCCGGAAAAAAGGATTTTAATAACTAAACTCACCCGAATATAGAAACAATAAAATTACTGATAGAAAATAACAGTGAAAATTCATTTTTAAATGGCTGAGTATCTTCAGTTCATTTGCAAGTAGGCATGTCCAACATAAGAAGACGATTACACTCTAAATTTGGGCCTGACCAAATGAGAGCATTTGCAAATGGACGTATTTTCTGCAGTTGGCCCACAGTATCAGTGTGACTTTCCGTATTTCCAATTATATTGTTTAACCAAATCAAGAATGGCAATTATTTTCAGCAATCCAAAATATGGCAGATGAAGTTGAAGTGTATCGCATCAGATCATTTTACAAGAAGAGAGTTTTCATACAGAATTTTTACTGTATTAGTGCCAGACTTATCTGCTCATGCAATTTTGGCACGAGGCAAACGCAGTGTTTCTTTATCAGATGCATCTATTATTTAAAACAAAACTCTGGTCTGAGAATGATGAGACTGAGTCAGAATCATGATGCAGCAGAGAATAAAGGAGTCAGGAATCATCCAAGCAGAAATGGGTTTGGATGCTTAGAGGCAGGCTGAATATTTTAAATACTCAACCAAGTTTCAAGCTGCAAACTTCTGCCATGTTGGCTATGTCGGGTCCTCAAAGTTGCTCTCATGAAAGCGGTACTTTGAGGAGCCACATCCAGCATCAGTCCAGGCTGATCTGCTGTCACCATGGCTTCCCGGAAGAGGCAGCACTTCCTGCAGCGACATTACAACATGGTAACTCCCTAGAAATCAGCGTACCTTGTAGGTAACTCTGGTGTCGGGGGCACCACCGGGCAGCTGGGCAAGTCGGTTATTTCAATAGCCCTCAATCTCTAATATAAATATAACAATTATACAGTAAATATTGCACAAACATACACATAAAACACTAAATCACACTAGCATAAGAAATAGAGCACGAAACAGCCACTATCCAGATATATAATGCTAATCTGTTTTGAACAACCCCTTTCTGTAAATGACCAGTCTATTAGTACTATTAACTCTTTTCTGAAGGACACACATAAATCTGTTTAAAATTGCTCTCCTGAAACAATTAAAGAGCATTTACTCTCCTGATTGGAATGCATAGACTGTATACAGAAGAAAAACACATAAAACTACCAAATGAATACTTTTTCTTCAAAATAACATTATATAGAAATACGCAATAGTAACTCTTGCTATTCTTTCTTCTGGTCTGTGCTTGTGCAGTTTTATTTCCCAGATAGCCAGTAAAATATGATGTAGCCATTATCTTAGTGAGTTTATGTCACAGATGCTTGACTTTTCCTTAATAGATCCGGTAGCAGGAACTAAATTTAAGAAGATGGGCAAATAATTAGAAACACAGGCAGTTCACTATATCATTGGTCCTTTTCTGTGGTAAATGTAACTTCCTGTTTGAATGGGTTTCATGAAACAATTATGCAAAGACCATTGTTTAAAATACAGGCAAAGCTGCCCAAATATGCATGAAGTGTGGATGCGAATTAAATGAAGCTTTATGTAAATTATAATTTCTGCACTGATAGGCAAGGCTTTGGGTGGCTTTATTAAAAGGCCCTTTTATACTTGAAAATCTAATTTACATAATCAAATGCATCTACTTACAAGCACAAGGGGTGAGCTAGAAAGGCGAATTCACCCGATTTCTCAAAGTGGTGTTTTTGAGTTGAGAGTGTTTTTTGTGTTTTTCCTTAGTACAATACATAAAAATCCATACTTATAAGGCATTTACTATTTTATGAAATTCTATTTTAGAAACTGTGAAACTGTTTTTGTACAGAGAGAATAAAAACTTAGGTTGAAAACAGGTGTAGCCAGAATTGCAGAGAGAGAGAGAGAGAGAGAGAGAGAGAGAGAGAGAGAGAGAGAAATTCTACCCTTCCTACAATAGGACCAACATTTCATAACAGCTAATTTCTCACATTCTCATCTACAGCTCCAAGGCGATTCACCGAGATCTGACTGCGGTCTTCATCACAGACCAGCAGCGAGGGGCAAGGGGCAAGACTCACTTTCTCAGCCATTTCGTGAGAGTGATGCAGCGAATGCTCCCTCTCGGAGAACATCCTCCTCTGCTCATAGCTGGCCAGTCGACAAGTGAGCCATGAAGACAGGGTGCAGCCCCCGATCCCAATGCACGCCAGAGACATGGAGGCGACGTGCAGCGGATAGAGGGAAGAGGTCCTCTTTGTCACTGCCCGAAGGAACTGAAAATTCAGGATGCCCCCGATGAGTCCACAGATGCAGCAGGCGGAAAAGAGGATCATCTGATGAGAAAAAGCAAAGGAGTGTTCACGTTGAGAGAGCAAAGCTGACTCAACTCCGGGCACCGCCCTGCTGCACGCCCAGGACGCTTGAGCTACAATAAAGAGAAGAAGCTTTTGGTGCTTCCCAGAGGACAGGAGCTACGCTTTCACCAGGATTCTGTGTAATCTGACTCGGTGGAGAGGGTACAGACCACAGTGTTTCGGGAAATAATAGCTGACTATACAAAGGCCACGTCTTATGAAAGCTCTGAAGTAGGCAAAATTTGTCTTCTAGGTAGATTCAGATTTAAATAATATTTATTTAGTATCTATTGTGTGCTTCTATGCTAGGAACTTGAACTGATATCTTGTTCAGCAACCCTCTGAGAGGGGCAGGTAACAATCTTATTCAGGGACTGAACTCAAATCTAGTTTCACAATGTTAAGCCCCCTGCCCTCCAAGTATCGAAATGTCTTCTCATTGAACTGCCATTAGTTCCTCAAGGCTTTGAATTTTTATACATCTCTGGCTGTGTGATCTTGGGGAATTTAGTTGGCTATTTAATTGATACGAGTTTTATTTTGTGTGTCTATTTCCCCAGTGGGAGATCGAGGGGCTCCCTGTGAAGCTGCCTGGCCCTTTATCTTACAAATCTTTTGTTACTGTGAGACACCACAGGGAAGCACACACAACAGATATTCCACAAATTCCACTGGATTGGTTGTTTTGCAGAAACAGCATGTGGCTTTGCGTTTGACCCTACTATTGGCTTGATCTGGGTCTCTATTCATAAAGTCATAGTGTTTTATTTTTATTCAATGTAAATATCACAGGGTCTCTGGTAGAACTAAGTATAATGCCTTCTGTGTAGTAAATGCTCTGTGAATATTTAATAAATGTAATTGAATATTCTAGTATCTTTAATAATTTTGTTTTGTATGAGTATTTAGGGTTTTCATAATACTTTATAGTATGATACTAATTTAATCATCTAAACGTATTCCCATCATTCTGTGGAACAGTTTGTTCCTGTCGCCTCTCTTACTCATCAGTATAGCTTGTACATTCCCACCTCAACAATAGTTTTTCATTTCCTGAATACAACTTTGTTTCTTCCTTGGACTCTTAGATGAAAGGCTTTACTGATCTCCTCCTTTGGCATAATCCCTCAGGGCAAACAGCTAGATAACTTACTGTAGCATTTAATTCTACATTTTCAGGTATTTCGTCTGTTGACAGTCGAATTCAGCAAGCACTTATTGGGAAACTAACATCTGTTAGGTCTCGAGTTGGCATTAGAGAAAAGAACAGCTCATAGCTCTTCCCCACGAGTCCATGATCGTCTTGGAGAAGATCCGACATCCCACATGGAGTGGCACTTACTAAGAAAGAGGGGAGAATGGGTTGCCCTCAGAGTAGGGAGCAGGGGAATTGAGCCCGACCAGCAGTTTCAGACAAGAATTCCTTGACCGTATGTCATCTAAGCTAAGTGCTCGCAGTTGTCGCCAAGGGGAAGGTGTGGGTGTGCGAAGTAGCACAGTGAAACAGCGTGACAGGCAGAGGGAAGGACAAGTGGGTCCTCTTACTTCTCCATCCTAACCCAGCATTCCTCATTGCCGGTCCCACACTGCTTGTCACCAAGGCTGAAAATCCAGTGATGGATGAGTAAAACCTTTTCACAGTGGTTAAATATAATACTGTGTATCAATGACCAAGTCATTGAATTATCCCAAGTGGGAACTTGTAGCTCCCAATTTCAGGTAGAATCAACCATTTTAAAGTCTGCTTCAGATGGACTGCAGCTTCTGGATAATATATTTTGACGTTTTCAGTCATTCTCAGAAAATATGAAACGATATTACATTTTAGCTTTTAAATGATTACTGTTAATTGAGAAAAATGAAAAATGTAATTGACTGTTAGAGAAAAACACATTTCTTCTGATGTTTTTCTCAGTAATTTTTTTAAAGGCATGAGATTTCATTAACATGGGCAGACAGAACAGTCTCACTTAGAAATTAAAATGTAAAATCTATACCCAAGTTGATAACCATCTACTATTTTCAAATCACACCAGGCTGGAGATTCTAGACTCCAGAGATGTTTGGAGTGAAGACATTTTTACACAATTTGATTGAAGGACGGACAATCCTTGATAGGTAAATATCATCTATGGAACCTGAGATGGTACAGGAGGAGAAAGTAGATGATACTTTCTAAAAAGTTTAGATGTTAAGATATTTTTTCTAACTTATAAGACAATTATAAAGATAGAAGGAAGACATAAGAGCTTTGAAAAAAAAATTTCTTCCCTTCTGTTATGGACTGAATGTTTGTGTCCTTCCAAAATTAATATGTTGAAGTCTAATCCCCAATATGATGGCAGTTGGAGGTGGACCTTTTGGAGATAATTAAGTCACGAGTATGGAGCCTTCATGAATTGAATCAGTACCCCTATAAAGACTCCAGAGAACTCTCTTCCCTCTTGCTCTGAGAGGAAACAGCCATCAATCTGCACCCTAGAATAGAAGAAGACCCTACCAGAACCCAACGACACTGGCACCCTGATCCTGGACTCCTGGCCTCCAGAATCGTCAGAAATAAATCTCTGTTATTTATAAGCTACCCAGTCTATGGTACTTTGTTATAGAAGCCCCAATAGACTAAGCAATCTCCTCTCTCTCTTCAACTCTTTCGTTCAAATTCTAAGAAATTGCTACTACGTAGCCATAAAGAGTCTTGGTAGAAAAGGTGGAGAAAGAATGAAGACCATGTCTAAAGAGCGATGGGAGAATCGTAGATGCAAATTACAAGCAGCCAAGAAAGAAAGTTGATCCAAAGGTTTCCCTTTATGTATTTTTTTTTTAGAGAGAGAGAGAGAGAGAGATAGAAACTTCAATCAGCTGCCTCCTGTACGCCTCCTACTGGGGATGGAGTCCACAACCCAGGCATGTGTCCTGACCGGGAATCAAACTGGAACCTCTTGGTCCATGGGACAAAGCTCAATCCACTGAGCCACATGGGCCGGACCCTTTATGCAGTTTGTAAACATTAAATCTCACATGTCTAAAGCAATGGGGCCTTTACCCTTTTTGTCACAATAGCTATTCTCACAGAGAAAGATGTGATTAGAAAAGGAGTTGCACAAAATAACTACACTACTTCCCATTCCTTGCCCTCCTCAGATAACTGGTCTCCCCTTAGAAACTTATTTTAGGCTCAAAGATCTCTTCCTAGGGTTCATGTGTAGTGTTCGCTTTGCTAGTCTTTAAAGGTCTATGATCTTTCCTATTGTACCCAATAAAATAAACCATGCTTTTCCTTCTTTCCAAACTCTCATAAATGACGTGGCAGGCGGTGGGGAACCCACGCTCCAGCAAGCTGAAGCCGTCCTCCCGCCAACATCGGAGTTAACTGGGAGCATGTTCCATACCCCCGCAACCCACGATAGTGCCATAAAACATCTGAAAACACTTACATTTGCATTCACAGTAATAAAATAAAATTAAATAGAAAATATTTGGGAATTAACTGTAACTATAACAACACAGCTGTTTTGCTGCTTTGTAAAATTAACTTCACAGTCAAACAAAGCCAGTAATCCTTAGGCACGTTTCCATATTTAAACAGTTAAATTTCCCATGAACTCAAGTGATGGCTTTTTCAGCTTATTGAAGGATTCACGTGAATGTTTGAGAGACTATAAATTGGAAAACTGGAGACTGTCATCCACAGAAGTAATTGAGGGTGCATATTCATGTATTTAAAGAGTATATCAAAACTTTTCTTCTCTCTCTCTTTCATCATAATCTTTAATAATCTTGAAGGTTTTCTTTGAAAGTAAAAAAGGCAGGATTTGTTTATCAGTTTTTTTCTATCCTAAATGAGTAACATGCAAATATGAAAGCAGGCTGGTCACTATTTCCCGTTTGAGTTCTGACATTCCAACACTTCAACGCACAACAAAAACAAGGCAGAAACTTACGACAAGTCCAGACTTTTTTTTGGCGCACAGTATCCCACATATGCCACACAGAAGAAACTGAAAAGGAAAAGAGCAACAATTATTTCGCATCCAAAGATAAAGGAATGCCTAGTTTTTGCTTGTAATTCACTCATGACATTTGCTCCAGGGAAGCTGGTTGAGTTTATATTCCCATTCAAAGCTGAAAAGGAACATACTCCATTCCACAATAGGAAGGGATCGAAGTGCAAGCGCTAATGAGTTTGTTTTCTGCAAGGTTGCTATAGGCAGCTGTGGGATCTGAGCAACACGTGGACCAGTCTCACTACCAGGAAAAATTAGGAAGGACGTGAGTCTCAAGTGTGTTCCTCAGATTCCCATCCCCTGTCTTCTGGGCCAGCCCTACTTTCTCAGGGAGAACAGGGCTGTGATACAATCACTCAGATTAAGCAATTAGAAACCAAAGGACTTTACTACAGGTAAGGAGTCTGACACAAATTAACAATAAGGTATCAGATAGGGAGATGTTTTCCTATAGAGATTTCTTTATACCTCTCACACTATGTCAGGTGAAAAAGCGACCTCCTTTACAACTAATAATAAAAGAGAACAATTATAACTCTAGTGTACTAAAAGTTATGTGAAGGTATTCTCTCTCTCACTCTTAAAATACTTTACTGTACAGTACTCACCTTTTCACTTAAGGGAAGCACTTTATGGCTTCTCTTTGGCTTATCCGAATTGCCAGCGCTTTGGGGCCATTATTCAGTGAAACAAGGGTGACTCGAACATAAGCACTGTGACATCGCAACAGTTAATGTTATTTCATCACACTACTCAGAATGGCAGGCAGAAGAACATTTATACATTTTTTTTTTCCCCTGGAACTTTCCATTTAATATGTTCAGACCAAATCATGGTTTTCCACATGAAACTGAAAGAGCAAAAAAGCAAAACCGTGGACAAGGGGGGAATACTGCATGGATGGCATCTAAGTTCTTGTAAGTAAGCACATGGGCGACCCAATGGCTTTGCAGAATTAATCATCTGTCAATGATATACTACTGGACACTTTAGTTGTCAAAAAATGGTAAGTTGTTTAATTTGGATAGAAACATTTAGGGCCATTTGAATCCACATTTATGCATACTTTCAGGTGACAGCAAACCATATAAATAAAATAATCATTCATTAATAAATAGTAAGCCAACTGAGGGCTTTCCGTTTAGGGAAGAAAACTTTAAATGTGGTTAAACTCCTTTCCACTTGACGTTTTCTTTTTACATTTTGCTTTCTCGAGTCAAAACTAATAATATAAATGGTTGTAATGGACCCTTCACCAGGTGGATAGATTTTTTAAATATACACAACAAAATACTTGGAGGATTATCTGCAATAAATAATATGCTTGTGAGGAGCAGCAACAACATTTAATTAAAAATAATGGGTTAGAAAAGCCTCCCTTTGCAATGGAATCTTCTGTATAAGGGAACAAAATGATTACAAAATAGGCAGTGACACATGGACGGATCAGGAGACACAGGCTATGGAAGAATTGCTGTAGAATGTAGATGATCTTTCAAATTAATGAGGAGAAGATCAGGATGATTTATTCAATAAACAGAATTAGAACAATTTGTTACCCAGCCTAACATCATATACCAAAAGGTCTATGAAACAGTTTGAATATTTAAATGTATAAAAATATAAATGTAGAAAGAGATAATAAAGTTAAATATTTATATAATTTAGAGGAGTGGGAAGGATTTTTCTAGACGTAGTAGCAAAGTAATAGGTAAAAAAGAAAATACTTAGAACTATTAATACATAATATTTTAATTTTGATAGTCAAAAGATACAGTAACCCACAAAGGTAAAAATAAGTTGGTTTTATATTCAGAAAGCATAAGACAGACAAAGGGTTAACATACTATATAAATAGATCTAATGAAATCATTGTAATACCATAAAACCCTGAGAAGATAGAACTCAGAGCTTGATAAAGCTTGAAGACTTGCCTAATTTTCAGAAGCTTTAAAAGCTATGGGCTTTTAAGCTCTGGGTGACCATTTCCCATCCCCTTCTGTGTCCTTGGTCTAGATCATCTTGTCTTCATACGGACTCTTTCTTAGGGCTCCCATCTCACATCTTTCTGGGCTGGGCTCAAGCCATTTCAGTTTGGACCAGTTCTGTACTTCTCAGTACTTCCAAGTTTCAGATCAAAGCCTTAGCATGTCCTTCCCCTATTCACCCTGAAAGTCCATTCACCTCGAACTCATTCTTGAAATAACTTGAAAGCAGTTCCTTGGGTCTCTTTTGAAATCTATAAACATTGTCATTATTTATTCACAGCAAAGCCCGAGGGGAGCTCAGGAGTGTAAACAGAGTTCTCCTCCCAACTACTTGTTTGGAACATCTAAGTGGCAATAAAATTGCCTCTTTCCATTGTCCCACTAAGAAAAGGAACTTCAGGGCTTGGAATGGGGAAGCAGAATCAGAGGGGCCTCAAACAATATTTTTTCACCCTCAATTAGGCCTGGAGAGTCAGTACTTCCCAACAGTTAATTTTGTTAAGATGCCCCAAATCCACATTCCTTAGAGGAAATTTGTAATCTGAGGAAAAACAGACCCATGTGATCAGAAGTATATAAAATCACAAAATTTCTGAGGTTTAAAGGGATCCTGGCTGAAGTTTAGCCATCAGAGTTTACCTAAAAGTTAAAACAAGCACAAAAAGCAGCACGTGATACTTTATTTCCCTGGCTGTCTTTACTCAATTCATAGCACTTGAACTTTAAAGATGACTTAACTTGGCCCTTACATGGGGAGCCAGAGGTCCAGAAAGGGTTAGTGGCTTGATCAAGGTCACACATCACAAAATAATATAAAGTTTTATTGATGTCTAAGTTAATGAATGCTAATAATCGAACAGAATTGCTTTTCAAAAGGAGTTTTTCAGTACTAGTACAGAGCTAGCAAATCCAATCAGAGGTGTTCAGTGGGCACCTGATCATCTGTAATTGCTCTCCTTTGACTTTGACATTGTTAATGTTTGTTATAATAAATTAATTATAAGATTAGTAAATTGCATTGCATTCTACAATTAAGTATACCTTATTATATAGGGAATTTGTTCTACTACTTCAAGACACTTTTTTGCTGTTCAACATAACTTTATCTAGGAGGCCAAGTACTCACCCACATTATGGAAATTATAAAACAAGTGGAAAACAATTTAGTTAAAATAAGTAAAATTCATGGCTGAAGATTTTATATATATACATATATATATATAATTAGATACACACTTTTACTAGAGAAATTATAATTTTATTTCTGAGAAGCTGGGCTGTTTAAATTCAGGGAGAATTGTTTTTCTCTAGAAAGTTATGTAAATTAAACGATCTAAAGACAGGGCATTAAGTGCAACAATGTAATAAAACTATTTAGTCCTCCAAATGGAATTCATTTGATTCCAATTTAGATTGAATTCAATAAGTTACTAAGTTTGTGAACTCGTTGTAGGATGAAATGGTGCTCTTATGGAAATGGCATCCTATATTTTGAGTGTATTTTCTAAATACAATGTCCATGGAGACTTCTGCTCTTATTTAGGAAGTATAAAGTCCAAAGATATTCTCTCCCCCTTAACAATAAGAAAAACCAGATAAATTACAGACTTACAACTTTTCTAGAGCCCATCAGAGAGCTAGGGTTCCAAGGCAAGAGAATAACTGCAATTCAAAGAGGGATCTGGCCCTCCAAAAAAAGGTCTGGATACACAAACTGTCACCTGTTACAGAGATGGGAGGAGGAGATGCTGGTTGTCTTACTAATGTGTGTGTGTGTGGGGGGGGGGTAGTAAGGCAAAGCCCTACAGATACAAGGCCAAGTTTGGCTGTCTCGGAGCAGGATACAGAATATACTGAGAAAGCCCTGCCCACGAGGCCAGAGCATAGGACCGTCCTAAACCGAGACTGTACCAGAACAACAAAGAGCCTTCATCTCCACTCCCACCTGTCCTTCTCCATGAGCCTAACAGGTGGGAGGAACAAGCAGCAGCAGTCTACACTGAGGGCAGACAAGAGAGGGGGAGGAGCCCTGTGCTGTGGGGAGGTGAGCGGGGACAGGGAAGCTGAGGGTGAGCCTCGACCACTGAATAATGTTGTGATAACCACAGTTTCCAGTTGATGAAACTGATAGACTGTGGTGCACCAAAGATAACCATTGAAACAGTAACATCATCTCCTCACTAGAATGACTCCACCTTTCACACTAACAGCATGAAAAAGATACTAAGATAAAATACTACGAGGTTCTGTAAAAAAAGGACTTCGAGCTATACATCAGCTCAACTTGCACACAAGAGATTACTCATAACGGAAAACTTCGGAACGTGGTCGTAATGGAAGCAGATAGAAGCAGTGATTCGACCAGCTGCTCAGAGAACACTCAGTGTTGGGCAGATGGATCATTACAGACAATGGGCCAAGTGTGTTTTATGACAGCTTATTGACAACGCCCTGCTCATAACATCTACCCCCCTCAGATAAAATCATCTTCACTGAAATGTACTATTACAGTACAGAGGTACACTCATTAGTAAATAGAAATGGCACTTACTCCCCCCCCCCCCTTGAGATGAGCTAAATCACAAATTCAACTTACCACTTTGATAACCGTTAAAGATTTATATGATTTCGTCAACATTAGTCAGTTTCTTTAAAATGGGTAGCAAAATTACCAGGAAAACACACAGATGAATATTAAATGTTGACACACTGATACGGAAGAATCTAGCTCTGGTTCAATAGTGCATTTTCCTTGGATCTGGATTAAAAGTTTGACGATTTGCTTTTGCTACCACCAGTTGTCGAATATTTTTATACTATTTCCATCACTGGTTAAAGAGCAACAACTGGGCTCTCTTAGTTATTTTGCAGTTCAGCACACAGAATGCCAGTGTGCTGAGCAATTCCCATTATTTCCCTCTTACTGTGCTTATATGATTGTGACTGTCTTACACGATGCCCTGACTGGAATCATAAGGTGCCCTCTCTGCCACGGGCTTCTTTCCA